TGATCACCTCCTTCGCGCCCGCGCTACGGAGGTCTTTGGAGGGGGGGTGTGTTACGAACCCCTCCACCCAGCACTACGAACCACGCCATCTATTGTCTTGATCTACCTACCCAGCACCACGAGCAACGCCATCTAGGGACGAGACACGAGTATGACTCGTCTTAGTTAACACTCCGGGGTTTCCCTTCTCCATATCCTGGTTGTTGCGTCACTTCCTCCAAGTCTTCTTTGTGAGCTCCAATTCGAGGAGAGAGGACTTGGCTCTGGGAAGTGACCACAGGATCATCTATCCTCTAAACCTACGGTGCAGTGACTACCTACCGTCTTCTACAATACTCAGCCTTACTCGTCAGCCATCTCAGCTCCTCACTTAAGTATTTGTATCTTGTATTGCCTCCCCCACGTCCACTTGCTTCAAAATTGTTTATGTTGTATTAATATGTATATACTGTTAATGTTTAGGTTAAGTTTGGTTAAGGGTAATTTATAAGCTGAATATTTTGTTTAGGGATTTATGGTACTTTATTATACACAACGAAAACTCGCATCCTTTGTCTACCCTTTTATAGTCCGATTGTCTTTGTTTTTTTTTTTTGTTACCTGTTGGGATCTGGGTAGACGTATAACTATATTCTAAATCCCCAACTCGTAACAATATATATATATATATATATATATATATATATATATATATATATATATATATATATATATATATATATATATATATATATATATATATATATATATATATATATATATATATATATATATATATATATATATATATATATGAAGGGAAAAAAGCACACTCGATAACTTTTGTGCAATTCCTCACAGTTCTTCACGCACATTCTGGGAATGTCAATGGCATCTGCGACTCCTGTCAAATTCATATCGAGTGAGTGGGAGTGACTGATGAAGCTGCTGCCTCTGATTTGAAATGTATTTCAATATATAATTGCATATTTTCACTGTAACTCACAAGAGATTAAATACTTAAGTTGCCTATCTCTGTCCTTTGGAAACCGATGAAAATGAAAGTATGGATGTGTATCCTTTCTCCTCTTGCAAATAACGCAGGGGTGCGATCAGGCCCGGATTATCCATTAGGCACAGTAGGCACAGTGCCTAGGGCCTACGAGATATTGGGGGCCTACGAAAAATAAAACGAGAACTATAGTGAAGCTCGCATATCTAAAGTAACTATCAGTCTATTTCCTGTTTCTCAAATATTGTAACCTAGCATAAAAGGCATCTATGTCATTAATGAATCAAAGATAAATCCTACTGCACAAAATCTGAAACAGAGCAATTAATCTGAAACTCTACAAGTAGCCTACGGGACAAAGGTGAAGCTAATCATAGCTATTAGCTAGGTAGTCACAAAAACTCACAACTCTGGGTTTAAAGCCAGAAATCAAAGCTATTCGGGTAAATATACTGTCACAGAGGACTATAATTCACATTCACTCTCTGGTAGATCACTAGCCACCTGCGGCTTCTGCGCAGGAATGCATAGGACAAGCAGCTAATAACAAATGCCCTTATATCATGAAGTGTTGTGGGTGTTTGCCCCTCCACTCACACACTCAACCTTCCATCCATAATTTTATTTAACTCAGTCATATAAGAAATACACAAAAAAATATAATGGTTCTCCGTTGTAACTCACTACACGACAAACATCTTCTGTGTTCTGGATTTACGACACAACACCCTACAGTACCCCAGGTATATGAAATTACTTTATAATAACATCCCCATTGTGTTATGAGCTTATGACGTAGCAATGCCCTTCAATGTTTATACCATGAGTTGTCATCTGTTGCAGTCTGAAAAGATCTGTCTGTCTTTCACACACACACACACACACATACACACACGTCCCCCCCACACAAAACCCCCCTCCACACACACATATGAGAGAAATAGAATACTTAATGAAAGTCACTAACGAAGCTGTGTTATTATTTACAATGGCTCACCATAAACACACTCTCACCTTCACACCATAAAACTGGCTAACATTTAGAGGTCAAGAGTGAGTATCGACCTATAACACGTATAATTCCCTACAAGAAAAAAAAAGAGATGCTATGATTTATATTCTCACTCATTAAACTGGTCTAAACACAACACAGCCTTTGTGCTTTAAATCGTCAACTCATACGACTACCAAGTAAACATCTCAGGAGTCGAGGTTATTATTTTATTCTCGTTAAGCTCAGGATTAACTTCTCAGATTTTTTTTATTTAATCCGTATTTGGCATCAACGTTTCAACAAGAATTATTTCATTATTTTCAAAAGAAGTATTTTTTTGTGTCTAGTTTGGTTAAAAAGTCGTGACATTTTATTTTTGTTTAAAATCAAAAGAAGACAATTGAACCTGAATAGCCATATTGACGAAGGTTTCATATCACCATCAGCAACAAATGTGTCAGTCTAAGAATGTTTCACAGTCTAAGCTCTTTGAGGGAGGGTCGAGCGGACGTGGTTATAACGTTGGGACTTGCTGTGCCGTGAGTCTCTTCCGAGTAAAATATGGCAAATGGCATCAGAAAGTGTTAGGCCGTCTCAGCTCCCAAAGACCACAGTCTCAGCAGTTTTAAGGTCGTCGAGATATTCTCTTCAGACTTGCTCGACTGTCGTTAATGAGGTTCTCAGGGCGCCGGGGTGTTACTACGTTGTGGGAGAATATCTCTTTTATAGTACTATCCCAGCATTGCCTTAGTAACGAGGGATCCACGGAACCATCTCTCAGACCGTATAGCATCTGAGACAATGGTTAACCTCAATATATCCCAGTAGTATCTCTCAACCTCTAGACTGTGGTCAGACTGAACAAACAATATAAGTTATTGAGACTGTGATCACCTATTGTTATGGATTCACTTTGGCTGAGTACGCTGAACTGAGTAATACTACCTTAGCCTCCCTCCCTCACCCTCCCTCCCGTATTCCTTGAGCCAACAGGGGTGGTCTCGCCGTGGTAGGAGTTGCCGATCTCTGGGTGAAGGCTCCTGTACTTCTTCCAGTACTCGTTCACGTAGTTGGCGTGGTTATGAGGGACGCTGTGATCTGCAGTGTACAGTACGTGTGTGAGTTAATAAAGAGAAATGTTTTACACACACACACACATACACACACAATATTATCATTAGAAAATTACCCACAATTTCCTAAAAAAAAAACCCACACAACACACGTCCTCCGCCTGGTGTGTCTCACAGGCGTTCCAGGAGTGATGTTAGCGGCTTTATACACTGAACTTACTGCTGTCAGTGTTTAACTTACCGAGGTGAGAGCACCTTAGTTAAAGACCTCAACAGAAATGTTTTTAAAGGCTTTCGTGTGTTATCTTTAGTTAGTCTGCTAAACTAATGTGTTCTTATATGATAATTTTTGGCAAATATCTATCTGTCTGTCTGTTTGTCTATCTGTCTATGGGCTGGACTTACCGTTGGCTGGTTGACAGGATGTACAGTCTCTGGCGCAAAACTTCCTCATGTAAGTAATATTTCCTCTGGCAACCGTTGCCGGCCCAAGCTGGGTACTGCTCGCGAACGTTCTGGTAGGCACTGTCTGTAGGTGAACACGCCGTTCGGACTAAGAATCTTTGTAGAGTTTTTAGATATCTTTGTATCTATATGTTGTTCAGAATTAGTAAAAATTTAACTAAATTTTAAATAATTTTGCAGTTATTTCAGATTTATTTAACCCTTAAATCAATATACTCATAGCACTTGTCAATGAGGCACTGAAGTGTTTACCTGTAGATATAACCTTGTGTGAGCTCCGAGATTCATCACAGTAGAGGACAACCTGCCACCACACCCGCTTGTAAATAAAAGATGGTGTCAGTGTAAGACTAAATATAGCTAAGACCTTCATCAAGTAGTGGACTGATACATTATATACAACCCAATTCCTTCACTTCTTCTCTCTCTATATATATATGCATCAGCCTCTCTCTCTCTCTCTCTCTCTCTCTCTCTCTCTCTCTCTCTCTCTCTCCATTTTCCTCCCTTCCTCATTTTTCCCTTACCTTCTCTTCCTGCTCATTTCCTTCATTTTGGCCCCTTTCTTCTCTCTTCGCCTCTCTACCTCCCTCTTTCCACCTTTCTTTCCAATTATTCCCTTCTTTTCCTTGTTCATTGTCTATTTACCTTGTTCCTTTTCCTCTCTCTCTTTTTCACCATATTCTCCTCTCTTGGCATCTCTTTCCTTCAACCTTTCTCTTCTTCTTACTCTCTGCCTCCCTCTTTCTTCCTTCACACGTGACCTACCAAAGCGTCTCTGATATTTCCGCAAATATTAATATGGACTAATGTGTCTGTGTGTGTCTGTGCATGTGAGTTGCGTATGCGTGTGCGAATGCATGTTTGTTACTGTATGTGAGTAACGACACACACACACACACCTAATTACACTTGCACTAAACTACTGTGAACCAAACTTAACAAGGCCCTTCAATAACATCTAGCTAACAACACAACCCACTAGACCATCGTGAGAACTGTAGGAATTCTGGATGAAGTCACTCAACCACCTTGGGTCACTGATTTAGAGAATTGTGATTCGATTGATAGTATAGTGAAGGGCAGGTTAATGATGAGACAATTGCCAAGGTTGTGCAGACTCCATGCACCTGTGAGAGGAATAATTCATGTGATAGGTGACTTGGTTGTTGTAAAGGATAATAATATGTGCCGGGGTATAGCAACGTAGAGTCATGAAGTCCTTTTATTTTTAGATGTGTTCCTTGTGATGTTGGGAATTGGTGGTCATGGGACATCTTGCTTGCTAGGGTACAACCAGGAATACTAACTTTGTGTCTAGTATAATTGAGGTATTAGTGAGTGTAAGAGGAGGCTGGATGAGGACTTATTCGCACGACGTAGTGAGGTACTGTGTCTCGGTGACGCTGTACGTAATCTGGTTATTTGTCTCTCGCCGTGGGTAAGGACTGAAGGTGTGTGGTCAAGGCTGCTGTAGTATTTAAGTGAAGTACTGTAAGACTGACTGAGCAAGAACATTAGACAGGGATGTTGAATTTATATTTAAGTTTGTGTTATCACCAAAGGAAGTCTGAGTAAGTCTTTGGTAAGAAATAAGAAGGAAAGTGGAAATGTCCACGACTGTTAGAATGGCAGAGGGAGAGGAATGACAAGATCAATGAAAAGAGCAGCTGTTGGTCTGGCAAGGAGCGTCTCGTGTCAAATGTCTCCACTAATTTGAGGAATATAAAGAACATCAAGCTATTACTGAAGCTGTCAAGAGAGGAGTCAAGGTGTTGATTCAGGATTCAGGAGAAATAGGGAGGAACTTGGTACTCACCTTGAACAACGCATTGGTGGCAGGACTCGGCACAATGGACGTGCATGTACCCTCGATTTTTGTAGCATTCTCCTATAGCCGACCAGAGGGAACAGCGAGGTTCACGGTCGCTGCAACCTGCCGGAGAAACACATTCAGTTATATAAGTTATTCAGACAAATAAATACAGAGAAACATTTTGATATACAACAAAGGCACATTAATCCACACGTGTTTTGATTATCATAAATCTACATGTATCAGAAAGATGAACACAAGCACATAATTCTATTCACAGTAAAGGAACAGGAATTTACACTTTGTGACAATATCGTTCCAAAATATATGTTTACTATTTTGTGTGATATAATATGATACAACAGACGAATGATTTTGACAACCCTCTCGAGGCAACAGGAGTCGCAGTGTTCAATTTGAAATTTATCGGACCTCTCCGCAAAGATACATTTTGGAACGAGTTAGTTGGCGGTAACAGGGAAGGTGGAGAACAACTATGAGTGGATTATGGGGATTGTTTCAACACGTTTGTCTTTTCTCTACGCGACAACTAACCCACCGTTAAGATAAAACAACATTCCGTATCTCCGGTAGTAGAGATAGAGAGTGCAGTTTCTGGGTATTTTATCCGCCATTGTGTTGTGAGTTAAGTGAGGTTATTAGATAGCTAACTTAAGGATCAGAAGTTATATCGAGACCACTTGAGAATTGGGGGACCAAGAGGAGCCAAGTAAAGTTGGGATGAATGACCGTCTCAAGAAATAAGACATTGCTGGTTGTCTGTTGTTACCTTTACCCAGTCACCTCCTAACCACGTCTCTCCCGCCATCCCTCCCTCCGTTTGTCCTTCCCTCCCTTTCTACCTATCCTTCTCACTCCTTTCTCCTTCACTGACCGACTCTAAATATCACCTGCCCCTCCCTTAACTCCTTTTCACTGCCCTTTTACTTGTCCTGCCCTACCTCTTCCCTTCTTCCACTCCCCTTTCGTGCTCCTTCTACCACCAAATATCCCACCCCCCTCCTCCTTGACCCGTTATCTTAAAAAGGCAGGGAGGGAGGGAGGGAGGGAGGGAGTGGGAGTTGGTACAAGCTAGACGGATAGTGGGAGTGTGGTGACCTGTGGTGTAATAATCAGCATGCTCGCCTCGCAAGCGAGTGGACCCGGGTTCGATCCCTCAGCTCTCAGTAATAGGGAACCTGGATGTTAATAGATTTGCGGATCGTGTTCCGGGGTAATGGTTAGCCAGTGCAGATGGCGAGTTGTCAGGTCTTCTCGGACTTTTCCTTGACACTGAATCATGCAACTCGTTAATTCAGGGTGTGGTTCTTGTCCTAGCGACAGCTTCTACACATTAAACAAATGCACGCCTAGGTGGCCCTACGGCTGGCCATCCGTGATCACAAGGGGCAACCATTATACTGTATATACAGTGGGATTCCCTGCAGCGCGCAGACTGTAGCTGGAGTCAATTTAGGTCATCGGTGAGTAACGGCCTTTGTTGCCAACCTCGGGGAAGAGTAGCTCAATCTCATGAATTTTTATGGTAATGTAAAATAAATTCAAGTGACTTTTGGATTAATTCTTAGTATATTATAACGAGAATTGATTGACATTAGGGGAATTTTAGCCATATCATGGAATGATATTGTTGAATTTAAGCGATTTTTAGGTTGATGCAACTGATTAATAGAGGACTTTGTGATTTGTTTTAGTTGGGTTCAGCGATTTTAATGTGACAAGTGATTTTAAGCGACATTTTATTTTTTCTGAATTTTTGTCGATTCTAGTGAAGTTTAGCGAGTTTTAGCTTCATCTCAGCGACTTATGGGCTCTGAGAGTTGACATACAGTAGGTGGAGGGGCCACCGTTGTTTTTGTTGTTTTGTTTTGTTTTACGGGGATTAGCCCACCCGGGGCCTGGGGGCGAAAATATAATAATAATAATAATAATAATAATAATAATAATAATAATAATCATAATTCAGAAAAGTAAAATAAAAGAAAAAATTAAAATACATAAATAAAATAATAAAATAATAATAATAATAATAATAATAATAATAATAATAATAATAATAATAATAGTAATAATAATAAAGAACCATAAAGAAAAACAAATAAAAAAATATCAATAGTGAGAAACAATATATGTTTGAGACCCTGCAATTGTGTGTAAATGAATCAGAAAGTCAGATCAGCAACCTGGGACTTGGTCACAATTTTCGTGATGCCATATGGCAGCAGGGTCTACCAATAGACAACACATTATGCTTACAATATCTTCCCAGGCGGTAGTACCTCCCTGTTTGGTAGCTACCTACTACCACGTGTCGCTCTGACCAATGCTAATATAATCATGATCCTTCATGGAACTGATCACAATGACTCTTCTACATGAACTTAATTACCCATATAATTGACTTTGATAGGATGTGTGTATTTTTTTTAGCAAACTTATTTACTTTTAGCTATAGGAACGCACAGAATTACAAAGCCAAATTGTAAATAACTTTATTCCTGAAAGGAACGTCGTCGAAAATAATGAATATTTTCTTTAAGTTTAACATAATGTATAGATTTTCATTTACTGTGAAAATGACAAAAGTTGATAAAAATCCCTCTTTTTATATAAATAATCTCCCATATAAACTATCCAGGTTAGACAGACAGACAGACAGACAGACAGACAGATAGATAGATATCCTAATACAGTCACTTGAAGGATTACTTTAACCAATAACACAACAACTGCAAATATGTTGCCTGTATAACAAGTGACCTAACGCGTGGCTTGAGCACTGTGGTGTGTGTGTGTGTGTGCAGGTGCCCGAGAGGCCTACCCTCATGGTCACTCCTGCCCATGTGGTGAGGGTTGTAGACACAAACTCCCCACCTCATATGGTGTCAGGCTGGATAGTTCTTTAGAAACTGAAATTGACTTTGATACCATATCTGATTGATTGAAACAATTTATTTAGCCAGAAAAAAAAAATACGGAGTTGATAATAATAACAATATTAACATGGCTGAGCCAGATGAGAACCTGAGCTCTCTTGTAGGCACCTGATATATACTGTACATTTATCTCAAGGAAGTGTTATGTAACATTTAGTATCATTTGGAATAATACATATAGCATGGTGGTAATAAGAACGTATCAGAATGTTACCACGGTTATCACTTCGATATTTATTTATTTTATTTACTTATTTATTTATTTGTTTATATATTTTTTTTACATTTATATTATAAGTATATACATAAGTGACAGTGGAATTGAAAAACATAAATATAATGAGGGAATCAGTACAACATGAGTTGTATTAAGGTTGAACAAGAGGACAGAGCTGTCATGATTATATTTAGTTGACAATATATTTTTGGCAATGCTAATTTCTTTTCTATCTTCATGATAATTTCTGATAAAACGGTTCTGATAGTACAATAAAAGATGGAATATAAAGTAGGTATTACAAGAAATATTAATACTTAGACAAGAGATATTTTTTAAGAGATGATTTAAAGGAAGGGAGCGAAGTCTTTGCTCGGATGGGTGGGGGTAAGTTGTTACACACCTTCACACCGCGATATTTCATGGAGGTCTGGGACTGAGAGGAGCACATTGGGGGTCTTAGTAGCTCTTGGTGCCTTAAGTTGTATCTCTGATTATTCCGGAACTGGAAATAATTGTTGTTAAGCAAGTGATTGACAGATTTGTAAACAAAAAGGGCACAACAGTAGGTGTTAATATCCTCGAATTTTAACATTTTCAACTTAGCAATTGTTCATTTGTGTGATCTGTTTTTTTCAAGTAAGTCATTATCCGCACTACTCTCTTTTGTGCAGTAAAACACAAACACCATTGAGCAAGAACAACACGTGTAATCAAAGTGCTGATAATCTGAGAATACTCCTGCTACCTTTGTACATATGCCGGGTTTGACACCACACCCCTCACTCCCTCCCCTCCCGGATGGTTTGCTCACGTAAGTCCCTCCATTCATACCGCTGATACACTGTAGACGTCAATTTGCCTTGTCCCGTGAGAGGGTTATGCATCCCAACCACCGCTGACTTCTTAGGAGTGCCACGCAGTCCCCATCCCTCTGACGCAGGCATACAATATAGGGTCGAGTCCTGTAACTCCACCATGTCTGAGTTAAGTGGAGACCCAGCTACACTCTCTAGCCCTCTTGGGGCACTGTGTGAGCCAGATGCCTACGGCGTTGACCTTGGTGCTGAAAACAATGGAGAGGGTTTAAACTTCCCTGTAGGTACACCACCTGAAGTCAAGTATCGATTGCTAGACGATGCGGAAGATAGACAACCAAACGCTGAGTTTCAATTCGGAGTCAATACACGAGATTATGTTTTGATTAAAAACGACCCAGCAGTCATACAGGATCTCGTCACCAATAGCATAAGGGGAATAACCATGGAATAACCATCCCAACATCAGAAGGACGAAGCGACTCAGGGGCAACAACGCAGTCATTGCAAACTGGGGTTGGCTCGGAGGACCCACCCAAGTCCATTCGTATCCGTGGTGCCTATCGGACTCTAAAGGTAACTCTCTATCAGCCACCTACCCGGAGGTGTTACAACTTTCAACACTTGGGCCATATGGCCAGATTATGCCCCTCTACCAAGCCGTGGTGTGGTCTCTGCTCAAAACAACATGCAAACAGGCTTGCAGAAATAAAGTTGCTCAACAGAGGTGTGTTAACTGCAAAACAGTTGGAGTTCCTTTATGGCACCCTGGATGTCCTAGAACTCCTACACCCCCTCAGAGCCCAGACCCGCCACCCAGACAGGTCTCAGGAAACACTACTGCTGCTAAGGTACTCCCTACGGCCAACCCCTGGCCCGCCCTCACTACCAAAGCTCCAGTATCATCACCAGCCGTCAACGCAAGATCAGCATGGGGCAACACAGACGTAATGACACAACAAGTAGCTGCCAACACACCCCGTGAAGAAGCATAAAATGAAGAGATCAATGATTTGAAAATTAAATTACAGAACTCAAAGCTCAATTTGCAAATGAAAATCATATGTTAAAGAACCTCGGCGAAGCATTACAGAAATAAGAAAACCACCAACACAGAGCAGCAG